TGTATGCCGAGAAAGAGAGAGAGAGGGAGAGGGAGAGAGGGAGGGAGGGAGGGAGGAAGGAAGAAAGAAAGATGCCAAAGGAGGTGGGGGCGGGGGGGTGGGGTAGGAGAAGAAGAAGAAAACACACCAAGGACCTCAGTGTCCCCGAATCTGTCCTTGTTAGTGACTCCGCCTTTGAGATTCTCTCACCCCCTGCTGAAAATCTAAGGTGCTCGCTTACAAAAAGATTTTGAAGTTTATATGGTACTTCATCTCAGTAAGGCTTGAGGGAACACTTAATTCTTTGAGAAATTTTATATTTCCCAGAAGTTTTAAATCAAAGCAAAGGGTGGTGTTACTGTAGGGAGGCAGCACTGCACCTTCATCTACTCCAGGTTCCCAGCCAGGCCTGGGAATTAAATGGACATGAAACACATTATCAGAAGAAGAGAACATGAATTTAACATGAAAGTTCTACATGACATGGGAGGCCCCAAGGAATGAAAACTCCAATAAGTGGCAAAACCTGAATGCTTTAATAGTCAGGTTGATAGAAGGATGGCCTGAGCCCAGCAGGTCGAGGCTGCGGTGGCCGTGAGTGTACCACTGCCCTCCAGCCTGGGTGACAGAGTGAGACTCCAACTCAAAAAATAAATAAAGTCAGGTCAAACAAAGAGATGTAATTGTGGAAAGTAACTAACTTACATGGAGGAATAAGGGGAGACGGAATTTCTCCAAACAAGTCCCTATGTCTCCTGGCATGGGAAGAGCATCCTTCACAGGGCTGCTTTCCTCCTGTTTTCAGGGGGAGGGGATGACCTGAATGCTCTTCCTGCATCTGAGGCTTCTCGAGTGCCTTTCACATTAAGGAATCCCCATGCCAAAGCGGCATATTCGGGGTCCCCATTATCGTCACACGATTTTCCAGTCCTGGGTCAACTAAGGCTACTCTCAGCTTGTCTGTGATCCACTGGTTGTTGGATGGAAAAGATCTCCTGAGTGAAGTCTTAAGCAAATCTTGAAAGTATTTTGACTAGAAATGGTTATTTCTGCCATCAGAGAGTCACACACCGTATCAACCTCAGGAACCCAGTCTTATCTAGCCAGATTGTGTACAGTCAGCTTCAGACACAAAAGTCTCAACCCTCACTGTAAATTTGAGAGAGCTGTTCAGTTTCCTGGATGGTTTTCTCAGGCATTAGAGGCTCATTAAGAAGGTCTAATTATTAAACTCTATATCTTGGCTCCTTCAAATGAGGATGTAATAGTTATTCTGTGTAGAAAGCACCCCACAGTAACATCATAACAATAAGTAAATTTGATCACGTTTGTCAGCAAAGCCTAGGAAAAAAGGGCCAGTAAAGACGGGATCCTATCCCTTTGTTTACTGTGGCTGTATTACTGGCAACGCTCTTGCAAGTCCTGGCTTTACAATCTTCTTTTATGAAGTCCATGAATGAATATGCAATAGACATATATATATAGCTCTCAGAGGACTGTCAAATTCATTCCAGACATACCTGGGATGTATGGTTAAGGCAAGATCACACACACACACACACACACACACACACACACACACACACACACACCATTCTAGCAGGTCTTATTATGGAGCAAGACACACATTTGGGGAAACGGGTTCCTGCATGGCCCAGAAGCCCAGACACAACCATGCTGATTCTCATCAGGATGGTTGAGCCGCATGGGTTCTTCTCAGGGGTCTCTGCAGGAAGTCAGCAAAAGAAAATCACATCTGAAAGCTCACACCCAAGAAGAGCGATTTTAATAAAAGCCAACCTTCCTGTGAACAAATGATGTCAAAAACCTAGGCCAGGCATGGTGGCTCACACCTGTAATCCCAGGACTTGGGGAGGCCGAGGCGGGAGGGTTGCTTGAGGCCAGGAGTGTGAGTCCAGCCTGAGCAACATAGCAAGACCTCAGCCCCCAAAATAAAAAATTAGGTGAGGCTGCGTCACATTCTCTGTTCCACTCCCACTTCCTTCCATGTTCTGAGAAGAGCCCTTTTAGCAATTTGGTTATTTTATCTGCAAAACAGGGATAATAATGAGCCTTCTTCACAGGACGATAGTGAAGATGAAAGAGGTTACCTTAAGTAAAGCCTGGAGGACACAAGGAGTATTCTGGGTGTTCTCTGTTTTTATGTGTATTGTCTCCTCAGTCTAGATGCTGTGGATAGTCTAGGAGCCTTCAGCAGTTTCAGAAGTTTGTGTGAAGGAGACTGGAGATTTCGTCCCGCGGGACTGAACAGCATTATAGATACATTCAATCTGCCTGATGACTAAATGACGTGTTGGAGATGGTGAGTTATGGACATAATTTAATCGACATTAAATCTCATCCTTTCTTTGATAACCCTGTCCTAGAGTTCTCTTTGAGACGAGGCATGAGACAACAAGGAGCTAAACCTCTGAGATAGACGAAAGGAAGGGCAGAGATGCTACGACTGACCTGGCCACATTGTGTCGTGGTCACCTCTGCCTTCCCTGTAGGCCTTGAGCATGTGTGTATGTGTATATTCAAGATTTACTCTTCTGTAATACAATATTAACACCTTGGACTTAAAAGTCTACTAGGGTACATGTGTGGATTTTGTTTTTATTGTTCGAGATTTTCTCTAGAGCCATTGCATTCTTTTTTTTTTTTTTTGAATTGGAGTCTTACTTTTGTCACCAAGGCTGGAGTGCTGTGGCACGGTCATGGCCACCGCAGCCTCAACCTACTGGACTCAGACGATCCTACCGCCTCAACTTTCCAAGTAACTGGAACTACAGACATGCCACCATGTCTGGCTAGTTGTTTTTACGATTTATTGTAGAGACGAAGTCTCACCAAGTTGCCCAGGCTGGTCTTGAACCCCTAGGCTCAGGCAGTCCACAAAGTGCTGGGATGACAGGCTGAGCCACCGCACCGGCCAGCCATTGCATTCTTATGTAAATTTTAGAATCTGCTCGTCAGTGTCCACCAAAATAAATAGTTGCTGAAATTTTCATTGGGATTAAATAGAAACTGTAGATCAAGTTGGAAGAACAGGGACTCCTTAACATTACTGAGTGTTCTGACCCCTAGACACGATCGGTCTCTCCACTTATGGAGGACGTTGATTTCTTTCTGGGTTGTGGCTTTAGTTCCTTTCAATTCACTGCAACTTCAAGTGTCTTGTTCAGGACGTTGAGGCCCTCTCTCCTGCCAGGCTTGGGGATCTAAGATGCTACAGCATCCTCTCTCCTTGTTTTAGTCCAGCCTGCAAACTTTCCCTAAGGTCCTGCAGTCAGCCAAAGTCTTGTGGAAAGAACAGACGAGTGGGGAGAACTCACCCTGCGTCTGTGGCTTCTCCGGACGTGGATACACCACACTACCACACATGGCTGTTACGTGTGGCTGGTTTCGCCGCGGCCAAGAGGTTTCCCCTGCCGGTGGACAGCTGCTGCTCCACTTGCCATTCCCCGGCCGTGAAAATGCCACGAATGAGGAGGGCCACTCACTTACCCCAGTGACTTGGGAAGACTGGCCCACTATGTTCTCTAGTGACTTGGGAAGCCCCGTTCTCTGGTCTCTAGTCAACAGGGAAAGGCCCACTGACGGGTCTCTGGGGACTTGAAAAGGCTGGCCCACTGACTGTTCTCTCGTGGCAGGAGAGGCCCACTCACTGATCTCTAAGGCTTCAGAAAGGCCCGTTCACTCTCTCTCGAGAAGGCCACACAATCGTCTCCAGTGACATGGGAAGCCCCACTCACTGGTCCCTAGTGGCTGGCGAAAAGCCCACTCTTGGGTCCATAGTTGCATGGGAAAGGCCCACCCTGTCCCCTAGCGATTTGAGAGACTCCCTCACCGGTCTCTACTGATCTTAGAAGGCCCATTCCTCGGTCCCCAGTGACTTGGGAATGGCCCACTCACTGATTCGTAGTGACTGGGGAAAGACACACTCTGTGGTCCTTAGTGTCTTTGGAAAGGCCCACTCACTGCCGTCTACTGGCTTGGGAAGTGCCCCCTCCCTCGTCCCTTCGCTGGCGTCTAGTGACTTGGAGAGGTCCACTCACGGATCCCTACTGGCAGGAAAAGACCCGTTCACAAGTCTCTGCTTACTTGGAAAAGGTCCACTATGTGATCCCCAGTGAATTGCGAAAGGCCCACTCCCTGGTTTCTAGCAACTTGGGGAAAGCCCACTCACAGTCTCCAGGGACTTGGGGAAGGCTCATTCACTCGTCCCCAGGGACTCGGGAAAGACCCACTCACTGGTTCCTAGTGACCTCTTCAAGGCCCACCCACCGGTCTCCCTGACAAGGTGAGGCCCACTCACCAGTCTCAACTGACCTAAAAAGCCCACTCCAGCCCCCAGTGAACTGGGAAAGACCCATTCCTGATCCCCAGTGAGTTAGGACAGACCCACTTACTGTCCCTCATGACTTGGGATGGCCCACTCATCTCTAGGGACTTGGCAGAGGCCCCCTCACTAGCTTACAGTGACCGGGGAAGGCCTGCTCACTGTCCCTAGTCACTTGGGCAGGCCCGCTCACTGGTCTCTTGCGACTTGGGAGGGCTGGCCCATCTCTAGAATGTCATTCTTTTTGCCTTCTTTGCGTCTGCAACTGCCTGGTGGCTTTAGGGAAACCCCTAACATTTTAAATCACGAGTTTTTTTTCTAGTGCTTTCTCAGCCTCGTGGTGAGGGCAATGATCTTTTCAGTCTTCCTCATCCTTCTGGAAGCAGACTCAAAAGAGACTTTTGAAAAATCGAAATTAGATCATCCTTCTTTTTTTCATGTGTGCCCACCTGTTTGGAGGAGGGTCCCACACTTTAATTCTTCTTCAGACACGACTCCCCAAAACCTAAGTTCTAGGTGGCGTCATGGTTTTCAGCACGACGCTGAATCAACTAGGTTTGAATTTTGCCCTTCTTGAGTCTGGTGACCCGGCGGGGGTGGGGGGTGTCCGTTCCGACTTTTTTCTTTCTTTTCGCAGCACTTCGGGTCTTGACTATCTGAACCCTCCTTCCAAACGATGTCAAAGGACATCACGAAATGGGCGGGACGTGTCCCCCAAGTGCCTCAGACACGGGATGCCCGGCGGGTCACCGGCAGAACGTTCTTCCTGGATGCCTCCGGCCGAGGCCTGCAGGCCTTCCCGCCGGAGGTCCTGGCCTTGCGGGAGCTGGAAGAAGTGCACTTGGAGAACAACCGGATCCAGGAAATCCCCGGGGACATCCGGCAGCTCCGGCGCCTCAGGGTCCTGTACCTGGACGGAAACCGCCTGCAGCGCCTGTGCCCGGAACTGGGCGCCCTGGAGGGCCTGGAGGGCCTGGACCTGAGCCGCAACCCGCTGCCGCCGGCCTCCCTGGCCGTGCTGGGCGGCCTGTGCGCCCTGCGCCAGCTGCGGCTGGGCCAGCTGGGGCTGGA